CTGCTTAGAACTGCTTGGTGGCGGAATCTTGCAGCTGGTTTTCTATATCCATAATCTGTTAATAACTGCTACATGTAAAATCTCCTTTGCTATAGTACTGCTTATTTGTGGTAATTTATAATTTATTTAATCCTTTAATGTTTAGCTAAATCAATAAGTTCTGTATGAATTTCAGGGGCGTTTATTGGTATGTAATAATATTGATAGGGACAAATTTTTATTGTTGTTAAATATACCTTAGTTCCTATATTAGATAGTTTAATATTGTCGACTATCAAAACCTGAGATAAATTTGTTAATACTAAATTGATGAAAATGTCATATAATTATGTGTACACGAATTGTCTGTCTAGAGATTTTTTTATAATCATTAAACAGTGGAATAAAAACTAAATATTCCCACTTATATCTTAATTGTGTTTATAAATGATATCACAGTTATCAGACGAGGAATGATGAATACAATAGGCTTTAAGTTTGCTTTTTTTAAAGTCCAAAAAAAAAAATTTGAAATTTGCATCAAAAAATTTGAAAAATTGGAAAAAAATTGTTTTTGAATCGATCAGCTTCTTTTGTTGTTTACCTTTTCATTGAAAAATAAAAATGAGTTTAGTGAATAATTACGTACATACATTGTAGAAGAGTAATCCTGGCAGTTTCTTACATGTTTATTTACTAAAGAAAGAAGACATTCATTTGTATACACATGAAATATTACTCTATTAAACATACCCAATCCAAACCTGCTTTTAGTTTTCATACATGTTAACTGACTATACTTACTGTACATTTATCCAAGTTAATGATATCTTTTAATATTTCTTTTTTACTGTTTGTAATACACAGTTTATCTATGATAACAATAATCAGTGTATGTATAAAAATGTTTATCACATAAACCTCGGCTCTGTGGTGTTACAAACCAATTTAATAAAAACGATATAACACTTGTTGTAGCATCAGTTGCATGTTATATACAGAAAGTGTTATATTAAGCGCGCTAAATTGTTAGCATTACACTATGATCGGCTTTTCAACGTAAAGAGACTTTTTTTTAAATTTGAACCTTAAATATTCTTATTTTAAATATGTGATAAATAGAATATTATATTTGTGTAGATTCAATACTAAATCTATTAAACTTGTTAAATAAAACAATATTATGCCTGCCAGATTGAGGCTAGCGTAATATAATTTTATTCAACTCGTTCAATAAATTTAGTATAAAATCTACACTCATTCAATTTCCTCTATATATATTATTATGAAAGCTCATATGAGCCGCGTCATGACAAAACCAACATAGTGCGTTTGCGACCAGCATGGATCCAGACCAGCCTGCGCATCCGGGCAGTCTGATCAGGATCCATGCTGTTCGCTATCAGTTTCTTTAATTGTTATAGGGTCTGTTAGCGAACAGCATGGATCCTGATCAGACTGCGCAGATGCGCAGGCTGGTCTGGATCCATGCTGGTCGCAAACCCATTATGTTGGTTTTGTCGTGACGCGGCTCATATAATTTAATTTCCATCGTACAAGATATGATTATCGTATTATTGTTGTCATAGAACTGTTGTATTACTGTACCATATATCATTTACTGTAATGTAGTTATCCGCATAACCGGACATTTTGTTTTTTACCACTAATACATCCTCCCGTTTTTATTATTCTCACTAGATTTTGAAAGCAGAGAAATTTCTACAGGAGAGAAAAAGTGAAGGAAAATCTGTAAGACACCTCACATTATGTGAACAAAAAATATTGGTGGTTGATTTGTTTAGAAATGGATAGTTTAGAAATGATCGAACAAAAGTCCTTAAAATCAATCTAATTATGTGCTAAAAATTTGCACATAATCATTTGCATGACATATCTTTTAGGCCTGATGTAATTTTATAAAACCAACAACAAAAAACAAAAAAACTCATAAAACTTTACGTTAAAATGATAATTTTTTTGTTTGCTTTTTTTTTCCAACAATTCTTAATCATTTTGCAGCTTCTTCAATTTTATTCAATGAAAGTTATATATAAAAATAGAATCATTTGATTCCTTACTATTAAAAGACCATCTTAATTATTCTTTGGTAACTAGCTTAATATTTAAAATTAAGGCACATTGGTTTTGACCTTGAAAATGGAATACGATTCTCTTTTTCTAAACTATCCTTTAACACATGTATATTTATCCGTTTTATCCATGTATATATCGGACCATGACTTAGTACTTGGATATAACGGATAAACTGTGTGAAATAGTTCTTCTGGAAATGGTATAATTATTTAGCATGCAAAACTATGGTGGCAGCCACAACATATATAAACACTGCATGGATCTTATTTATCAGAAGACAGTTAATCAATGTAATTATGTCTTACATTCAAGGTTATAATTATATAACATGATGCGTTTATCATTTATGTCGCTGTAAATACAGCATATTCTGCAATTTTCTCCAAAGATCTAATACGGTAAGCATTTATATCACGGGTATTTTCTTAAAAAGAGCGAAATTTAAAATCCATTGCAATATAACTATATAAATCTATATATACATCTTATATAGATGTTAAATTAGCAACTATATTACCAGGATGTCTTATATAAAGATCAAAATTAAATACATTTCAGTATGACCAGTTTTATCTATAATATGACCATAAGGATGTCATTTATAAATTCAGTTAGCATGCAGGTAGACCCTAAAGGAGTAATAAACATCTTTGTCAGCTCTGCACTAATCATGTGAATATCAAATTTTATAAAGTTACATTTGCTTGTCTAATATCATATGACAGTACAGTATTATATGACCTGTTTATATGGAATATAACAAACTATATATACAAGTATACATGTATACTGGCATAATAATTTCCAAAATCGTAATCTTAGTCTATTACCTAGATCTCTGTATTGCTATATATACCATTATCATCAAGTAGGAAATAAATGTGCTCATACTGCAAAATCATTATTTTTCGTGGGGCACTAATTTTCGTGGTTTTCCTGGATGTACATGTAGGTCAATACATGAATTTAAGACCCAACGAAATTTCATTTCATCTGCTATAACATTATTTTGCATCACATTATTTACATTCTACCTTTTGAAAAAATAACCCATGAATACATTCTTTGTGACACAACAACGAAATTTCATGTCTACGAAATTAAGTGAATTCACAGTAAATGGTTAAGCTTATAGCTCACATTTTGCTGTAGAGTTGTTATTTCTTGTAGAAAATAAACTGATGCTGTGTCTGGAATTAATAGACTTATTTTCAGCTGTTATATAAGTAATGTTGAACTGTGTTTTTCTTTTAGACTAAAATAATTATTGTTTAACACAAAGTGCATGCCTGTTAAAAGTTTGCTTGGTTTTATGAAGCGCAGTATCTGCAGTTACGTTCTATAGTTACAATAGTGAAATAAGAGTGTCATAAAAGTATTTAGCTATTAAAATAACATACAGTAGTTTTAACTACATTTTTATTGGCTATACAGATGAAAATAATCAAAGGTCTTGTTTCGGGCTTTTTATGGTTATGGAAATATTAGAGCAACAAACTATATAATCTATATAATATAAACTATATCTTAAAGCTTGCATCCTTTAGTAAGCTTTGGTAAAGACTTCAGGTTGTCAAATTTCTTGTTACCCTAATCAGGCAATTGTTTAAACTTTCCTTCTATTTATAGATATAGAACAGATTTGAAAGAAATACTGAATGATAAAAGAATTACTTATTCTTTTATACTTATAGAGTTCTTAACTCTTTACCTCATATATACGCGAAACAACGCACTTTCGACCCCCCCCCCTTTTTTTTTAGGCTCGAACTAGTGAAAAAATGTCCTATTTGGGCCCCAAACACAAGTTTTTCGTTTGAGAAATGTTGCTTAAAAAAGTGAGCACTTTTTCGGTGCCGCCCCCCATCCAAAAGATACATCAGGGGGTTGCTAGAAGGGGGATGTGCCCCCTTCTGTTTGGGGGGTTTGAAGGGGGGCGGAGTCCCCCTCATCGCCAAGAAAATTTTGGACTTGTGAGAGGCTTAAAATGACCCCAGGTCGATCATAAGGTAACGTGTAACCAACGATGAAAAGCCTTTGACTCTATCTCAATCCCTTGTGAAGTTTCAGCACTTTGAGATAAATTTTGATGGAAAAAATCAAGGCAAAATAGTGATTTTTGGTAATTTTGAGATGTCCCCTCATTGCCATGGTAACAGGAAATTTAAGACTGAGCATGTCGTTACAAAACAATGGTCCAGTCAACATTTGTTCTAAGTTTGATTAGTATTGAAGCATTTTTCATAGTTTCATAGCAGTTTGAACTTGTAAGAGGAGGCTTTTCCAGTGAAAATGGCCATTTTTCACAATATGCTCATGGGGGAAAGGGTTAAAGTACTTATATGATTAAGAATTAAGGAGTTTTCAAGAAATAGTGTAAAGTATTAGTTTAGGTAAAATTGTTCGTGATCTTTTGTTTTTTATTAGCTTATAAGTTAGGTAGGAGTCTTGAGCTAAAGGTACTAAAAGGGAAGTGGGCAGTAAATTTTTACCTTCCTTTGCTGCAGGTTAGTCATATAAATTTGCCCATGTCCATAATATTATGTCATGCTATCTGTAGACTCACGAAACATTGACATGTTGGGGCATCAGTGTTCTATGGACACATTTCTAGTATTTACATTTTTTTAGCCGGACTTTTTTTCAATGTGTAAACCGTTTATTTGTTTGGTTATAGAAAAAGTAAAAAAGTTGAGCGTTGCCCCCGCCTGGTGGTGGCTCTTGCTTGAATTTTCATATCACAATGTATTTTGTATTAATTTTTATTACAAGTAGACAGGTGTATAAGTGTTTGAGCTGACCGTCACAAAGCCGAATGATGATTAGCACAGCAGGTTGTGTGTTGTAGAAAAATTAACAAATTAATATAAGGTAATTCGCTTAAAGTCCTAATATTTTTGGTTTGGACACATTATTGCTTGCAGAAGGAAAACGAGAAAAACAGGAGAATGTCGCGGGTTGAAGAGGATCTGATTAGTCTGTATGTGTTCGGTGAGGACGAGGGTGAACTCCATACTGAGGCCGAACAAAATGGCGGAGTTGTTCAGTATGAGAAAGTGAAACATCATCACCATAAAGATATACAACTTGTTCGTTCACATTCCTTTACAAATGTAAGCAAGTTGATTATGATTGGTTGTCCTTGAACCCTCTATGCTTTTTTGGCGTTTGTCTGTTGTGCTGCTTTTAGTCTAGAAAAGCATTGTTTTTGTTTGTCAGAAAACAATGACTTTTTTGCCATTATGTGTTTTGATATATGACACAAGAGCAAGTTTTGTAGATAAGACTCTGGCTATGAATCTTTGCTTAAATTAAGTTCTAGGATGCCTTATTCTCTGTCTGCATTTAGATTCACCTAAACCAGGGCAACTGGAAAAAATATAGAGGGTTATATTAATCTCCGAAGCAGGCTATTTGTTATTGCTCTAAAGCAATAACTTCTCTTTTTGTTTAAAACTGAACACACTACAATTTAGAGACAATTTAATTGAAATGAAATTGGTAACAGTATTTATAATAATATAAAAATTATAATTATGATCTGTATGTCTAATATGAAGTGCAGTCATATATCTTTTACTACTATGGATATGTTTGGTATCATTAAGCATATTAATACAAAAATATGATCACATATTATCTGGGTCACATATGTAACAGTCTTAAATGAACACATTATGTCATGAACTGGGTCTCCTATATAATTTATCTTTTCATAAATTGGGTCACTCATATGTGAAATAAAGTTAACTCAAAATCCAGGTAACCCGTGTGACAGTCTTGAAAATGAACATGCGATCTCATAATTAAGGTTACTTATATGTTACAGTCTTGAAGTAAACACTTTATCTCATAAATCAGGTCACTTATTTTATACACATTATCTCATAAATCAGGTCACTTTTGTTACAGGCTAACAATAGACACATTATCTCATAAATCAGGTCACTTGTGTTACAGTCTTAAAATAAACATATTATCTCATAAATCAGGTCATTTGTGTTTTGGTCTTAAAATAAACACATTATCTCATAAATCAGGTCACTTGTGTTGTGGTCTTAAAAAAAAACACATTATCTCAAAAATCAGGTCACTTGTGTTACGGTCTTAAAATAAACACATTATCTCATAAATCAGGTCACGTGTGTTAATGTCTTAAAAAAAATATTATCTCATAATTCAGGTCACTTGTGTTGTGGTCTTAAAATAAACACATTACCTCATAAATCAGGTCATGTGTGTTAATGTCTTAAAAAAAACATATTATCTCATAAATCAGGTCACTTGTGTTAAGGTCTTAAAATAAACACATTATCTCATAAATCAGGTCAAATGTGTTAATGTCTTAAAATAAACATATTATCTCATAATTCAGGTCACTTGTGTTGTGGTCTTAAAATACACATATTATCTCATAAATCAGGTCACTTGTGTTAAGGTCTTAAAATAAACACATTATCTCATAAACCATGTCACTTGTGTTACAGTCTTAAAATAAACATATTATCTCGTAAATCAGGTGACTTGTGTTGTGGTCTTAAAATAAACATATTATCTCATAAATCAGGTCACTTATGTTAAGGTCTTAAAATAAACACATCTCATAAATCAGGTCACTTGTGTTATGGTCTTAAAATAAACAAATTTATCTCATAAATCAGGTCACTTGTGTTGTGGTCTGAAAATAAACACATTTTCGCATAAATCAGGTCACTTGTGTTAAGGTCTTAAAATAAACACATTATCTCATAAACCAGGCCATTTGTGTTAAGGTCTTAGAATAAACACATTATATCATAAACCAAGTCACTTCGTGTAACACTGTCTTTAAAAAATTAAAACATATTTTATCTCGATTATCTCTATAAATCAGGTCACTTGTTTAACAGTCTTTAAAAATAAACATATTATCATTGTATCTTCATAACCAGGTCACATTCTGTAACATGTCTTAAAATAAACATGATATCTCATAAAATCGGTCACTTGTAACGAGTCTTTAAAAATAAACATTATTATTATGTCGATGTGCTGTAAGCAGTCTAGAAATAAACACATATTATCTCAATAACAACCAAATAAAGTTATGTACACTCTTTGATCCTAGTACATAATCTTTAAATAGACCATGGTTCAAATGCTGATACATTATATGGAAAATAAACACATGAAATCAATAAACAAGTAAACTTGTTTTCATGTGGTCATTACTGCATTGTATACTTTTAAGAATTGTATCACATTATTTTTTATCCTGCAAACAGTGCACTTTTGTTGTATACATGTAGATGTTAGAATGTCCAACATTAATATTTTAAAAAAAACAGGACCATATTCACCATATCTCATAACGATTATCTCACTAAGAACTTTATTAATTAAGTTTAAACCAATTCTGGCCTCATAATCTTGTTATATTTTACTTTAAATATCATCAGTAAAGAGGAAAAACTATTCTACCTAATAACCATCAGGTTTATTTTGCAAATTTATATCTCAATATATCTGCTGATGGTTTTCTCGATAAATATCTTCAGGGTCAAAGCTGTAGATCAAAGACCCATAACTCTAGCATATATATTTTTAATGAAGTTCTTTTTGTGTTTAAATTTCTGGATAAATTAAAGGTCATTGGATCAAGACCCATTACTCTAGCGATAAATAATGTAACTGAAATTATATACCCTTTGATGAAACATAGTAATACCTGTTTGGCTACTGCTTGAATTGGGCAATACTTAGAATAAGCAGATTTGCAGTCCATTGACAGCTTGTTTTTTATAACAAGAAATCTTTATAGATTTAAAAAATGATGATTTTCTAAGAGATTTTTTTTTCGCTTAGGAAGCCAAATTGCTAAAAGCTAAAATGCAGAAAGATTGGTTAATGAGCAAAAAAATTAAAACACAAATTCTATTCGACATTTTGATCATGAAGTATAATGTCTCTAAGGAATGCTAAGAAGATGTAAAATATCTCAGGGATGTTATTAACCATAATAGGTTAAAAAAATGGGCAAAAACATTTTTAGACTTTTTATTAGTTTCAAGCACTTGCCTTTGATTTGAAGTGTAAGTACACAACCAAAACGAATTGTTTTCAGTGTTATATGTATCATTTAAAAAATTTTTATTTTATGGGGATCCAAATTTAATTTAAAGGTCAATAATAAATTTACCTAGTAAATTTCTTTTAAGGGTATTGCCATGTTTGTATATGCAAAATGGTACACCCAATTTTTTTTGGGCTATTAAGTTTTTAAATTTTAAATTTTTAAATTTTTTTTTTGACAGGTAATAGGTTTTAATTTATTTATTGCCTATTTTAGTTTATTTTAAGAAAATTTGGCACCTGTAAAAATATGTTCAAAAATAAATATATTTTAAACTTATTATTCCCAAAAATTTTTGGAAAACTATTAAAAGGGGAAAGGGGAAAACATAACATGTATTAAAAAAAGGGAAAAATAGAATCTATTAAAAAGGGAAAGGGAAAAAATAGAAAACTATTAAAAAGGGAAATCATAGAATCTATTAAAGGAAGGAAAAACATATAACTATTGAAAAGGGAAAGGGGAAAAATTTGAAATTTTTATTAAGGAAAGGGAAATATAGAATCTATTTTAAAAAAAGGGGGAAAATGAATCTATTAAAGGAAGGGAAAACATATCATAGAAAGGGGGGAAAAACACAGAAAAGGGAAAAGGAAAAAAGGGGGGTGATGGGAAAACTATTCAAAGGGAATGACAATGATGGAAAACCAAAAGTAAGAGGGGAAATTTTAAAGAAATGCATTTTAAAAGGGTTCCCATAAAATAGAAATTGATTTAAGGAAGGGAAATTTAAAAGGAAATCTTTTGGTTTTAAGGAAGAGTATAAAATGGAAATCCCAAAATTTTGTTTTAAAGGGAAAGGATAATAACTTTAAAAAAATATATAAGGGAAATGAAATCTAAAAAATCTATTTTTAAAGGAAAGGAAAAAAGATGGAAATTTATTTTTAAAATAAGGGAAAAAGATGGGAAATTTTTTTTTTAAAGAAGGGGGGAAAATGATGGAAATTTAAAAAACCAAAAAAGGGAATATTATGGGAAAATTTATTTTTAAAAAAGGAAAATGGTTTGAAAAACTTTTAAGGGCAGGGAAAAAGGGAAATTATCTTTTTAAGGGAAAAATCAAAATGATGATGAAAAATTTAGCATTGTTTTTTATTTTTTATGCTATCACATTTATTTTTTTTGTTTTTTTTTCTTTTTTCTTGCTTTTATAATTTTAAAGCCCAGTTGTTTTTTTTAACAGTATAAAATTTTGGGAAAATAAGTTTTGCACTAAATAATAGTATCAAAATTTAAAGTAATTTTTTGAATTTCATCCTTAAAAAAAAATTATTGAAATATATACCCCAAATTATTAAAAAGTAATAACTTACCCGAAATATTTCCCCCAATTATTACCCGTTTTTTTGATATTTAAACCCTTTTCAGAAGAAGCATGTTTATTGCTTTTGTATTTAACTACTTTTGTAGGTTAATTTGAGCCGCGTACGACAAAACCCAACTTAATGCGTTTGCGACCACCACCTGCCATCCCGAAATCTGATCGGGACCATGCTGTTCACTTATTAACCCTATTAAAGTAGAAAAAACTGATACAAACAGCATGGATCCTGATCAGACTGCGCAGATGCGCAGGCTGGTCTGGATCCATGCTGGTCGCAAACCCATTATGTTGGTTTTGTCGTGACGCGGCTCATTTGTGTTTTACTAAGTTAAACATTATTTTACCATATTTACTGCATGTATTAAACACAAATAAAACTTCACAGAAGCCAAATTTGGTATGCATGCGAGTTTTAAAAACACTTTTGTTTTTTTTTTTTTGGGATTATAAAAATGGGTTTAATTAAAAGTTTTTTTTTTGGCTGAAAATATAGTTTAATTTTGGGGTTTTTTATAACAAAAAAAGGCCATTATAAATTTTTCTGGTCTATTGTTTTAATTATTTGCTCTCATTATTTTACTGAAACATACAATTTTTATCAAACTTGAGCTAAAACCCAGCTTAGTTTAAGAATGTCAGGTTCTACCGGGTGCCAGTTTTCCCCGTAAAGCTGG